TTTGTGAACATGTTCATCAAAGCAGATTTTTTATTTTTTCGCATTTCAGTCTCACAAAAGAGGGATAAAGGATACGGGGCAAGTTCGAATTTTAAAAACTCTTTCAAGTCAGTTTCCGATTGTTTTGCAATGGTCATACGTTGGAAAAAAATGAATGGATCTATTGTAATTTGTTTTTCTTGAACCTTGACAGTATTGATGGATGCCAGTGACGAAACTCGATTACTACGTTTCATGTGTATCTCTTTGATCTTCTTATTCTGCATTTCCTTTACGAGTTGTTCGCCAATTTCTTGAGCATGGAAACAATTTATCAACGAAGGATCACCACACACTCCGGTACTTAAAGACGTAATAGAATCATTAATCGGAAAAGGATCATGAATCTCGAACCAATCAACAAGTTTTGTTACGTCTTCGTTGTCTCGTTGTATTCGACTTTCACGAGCCTCTACATGTTGTTCTGACGTTGAAAAGTACCTTTCGCTGAAGTTTTCCACACCTTTACATATATTATGTAAAATTGGCATAGTTGAGGTAAACGATGTCAGAGAGCTGTCTGTTAAAGCGCCTCTGTCAATAGCGCCTCCTTTGAATTTGAACTCTCTATTGAGCGTCTGTTTTATAATTTGATCGGACCATGTTCCGGACCAGTACTTTGCCGTTCGCTTAAAAGTAAATTTTCCATTCTCTGTAAATTGTTGAAATTTGTCTGCCTTCATCACATTCTTCAAATTTGCCATATCCTGTAAATATATATGACAAGATTTTGCATATGAAAAATGTCCGGCAGAGTGAAAATATGGCAGCATATGCCGCATAGCCAACAAGTGATTCGTCCAGTTACCTTCTCTCTCGGATTCTATAAACAATTTCAAAATCGTTATCATATAAAAATATTGGAGCCATAATTTAGCAGTAGGTCTATTATTTGTAAGCTGCTGTAAATGATATTCTAGTTTTTTGGCAAGTTGTGCTACGATGGGATGTTCGCTTATTTCTTCGGTTTTTGGAGGATTTTCAAAAAATTGCTGAAGTATTGAAAAAACAGTTTCACGCTCTTCATATTCGATTGATAATGTTTTCAGTATTATTTTCGAGAGTGCTAACTGAACTAGTAAATGAGCTCTCACTGCTCTGGCACAAGCGTGTCCAGCGAGCAATTTGTCAACGGAATTAGGCGCATAAATGACACTTAGAACTTGTCGTAAACCGCTACCTGTCATTATAAACCCGATACAGCCCAAAAACGACATTAAGATATGAAACCCACCTAGCCTTACAACATTTTTCAACTCGGATTCTTCTCCACAACAAGCAACTATATCCCGTGCTTTTATATATAAAGGCTGGTCGAATGTAACAATAGTTGTTTGTAATTGTATATCTTTCGCTTTTTCAGCGGCCATTTGTAAAGAAGTGTATATCGTATCGTAGTCGCTTGGCGGAGCATTTACAAAAGGTAGAAATAAAACTTTTGTTTTCTCTACACTTTTGTGTTGTGTTATTTTTTCATTAAAACCCCTCCAACCAGGAATGTCAGGTATATTAAAAAACTTGCCTACCATTCACAATATATCACAACTGATTGGCATTAAGAATACTTTATTTTGCCAGTTGATGACTTCAGCTATTTCTTTGCTTAAATCATGGAGAAGAAGCGATTTCAATCCAGTTTCCGTTTTATCTTGGAAAATTTTCAGTTCTTGTATGCCACTTTTCTTCAATTGATCTGATTTCCGTAGTATAGTCGTTTTTTTTATACGATCCGAATTGTTCATAATTGCCGACATCGGAGTAACGCACTGGACGCCGCCCATACTATGAAAAGTATGCAGCCCATCGATAGTATTAACATTAAAATCCGTATTATCGAATATAAATTGACAGTGGGTATGAGGTTTAATTTCATGTGGTGGTGCTTGCAAAATTGACGATTCTAATGTTCTCACATCGCTGTACAAAGCACAAAGACCAAATTTGGAGAAAACATCAATGACGGTTTTTGAGCCAATTTTTTTATACAAATACGAAGCAATACCAACTTGAATCGTGGATATAAAAGAATTAGGTCTAACAGCTGACATGATACAATGAGCAATTGTAGTGCATTTTTTTTTTAAAGTATTGGTCTTTTTTTTATCTTTTAGTATCATGTTTTCCAATAATATTGTCAGTGATTCCGGTATACAAGAATTCACACCAAAAATTGTGTACTCGAAGGATACGAAGTCACGTCGCAGTATATTTATTTAATGTCTGATCTTATAATTTCGGCAGCTTTTTCAACAATTCTTATTTTTTCGCTTTTATCATCTAATAAGCGATTCTCATACCAATCAGTGTTAATTATTTTATGTCCAATGTTAGAAAAAACATACGACTTGCTCTCGACCTTTGACATGTGTAATAATTATATCATTTCCAAATTCTTCTTTTAGTTTATGCTCCACAGTTTTCCAGGCAGGTGCAGTATGCCCTGCATTCTTAATAATAAACA